AAGACCATCTAGGGATATCTCCTGCAAAGGACTGTAAGAGATCAAATGTCTAAGCAGTAATATAGCTAATCATACAGAGCCGACTCTAATGAATGTGCTGATGACAGATGACCTGCTAAAACCTGGCCCTCTTCACTGTTCCTACTTGAACTGGTTTGCTCCCCAAGGCTTTACCTTTAGCAGCTGCACTTATCATCAGGCCTGTTTTTTTTTCTTTCCTGTTTTCGACACACCTGACGCTTAAGCTGCATTGTCTGTGGATGGTAAGTCTCAAAACCAGCTCACACCTGAAATCTAATGGGGCTTATATTTACAGAAGCTGGCACGGGGGAAACTCTGAACCAGAGTGAGGACTCTCTCCCAAAGTGCTCGGTGTGATTCTGAAGATTTTCAATTTGTCTTAAAGCACAGACCTAAGCATGATGCCTCTCTCTTGGCTCAAGAAACTTCCGTGGCTCACAGATGCACTTTGGATGAAACATAAACCCCTGAGCTGATAAGAGGCTGCAGCCTCCTTGCCTGGGAGGCACACTGGGCCTGTCTGTTCCCTCTATTCACATTCCATCTCCCTCCCACCTCCTCCATGGGGTGCACTCCCTTCCCCCATCTCCTCTCCACCTCTTGGAATTCCTGGCTTGGTTCCTTCTCCCAAATGGAACCCTCTCGGGATCCCTTTGGTTCTCAGTACTTGCTGCCTCCTCCTCCAAAGATCCTGTCTAGATTACATTGTTTACGTTTTATCTCCCAGTAGATTACAAGCTCCTGGAGGGCAGGGCTATGGTTTTTTTTTTTTTTTTTACTTATATCTATAAAGGGGGCAATGTCTAGCACAAAGTACATGCTAATAAATGCTTGTTGAACTGGAAAATAAATAATGTGATTACATTTTACAGAGGGAAAACGAAGTGGACAGAGAAAATATATGACTGTTATATATTGTGGGCCGGACCTGCCTCAGATCAGTTCCCTAATAGTTTAGTTTCAATATTGGAACAAAACGAGCACTGGTGGGTTATTTAACAGTTAATAAAAGGAGATGACAACAACGTTAGCAGCAACACACAGCATTTACGTAGCACTTTTTAAGGTTTGCAAAGCGCTTTACCTCTGATTATCCCCATTTTACATATGGGGAAACTGAGGCAGAGGGCAGTTTAGTGACTTGATCAGGTCAGAGGCCAAATTTAAACTAAGGTCTAGCATGCTGTCCACAGCGCCCCCTAGTGGCTCACCCGGCCATAGCGGGAGGACACAACAGTGGTCGCGGACCTGCCAAACCAAACCTCCAAGGCCCATACTCCCTACCCCCAGGTCCTAGTGGCTACTCTGTACTCAAGCTAAAGGGAAGTCAGAGCAGCAGCCCAAGCCCTCAATTTCTGAGCTAAGCATATCTTCAGGAATGTCTCGGCACCATTTAAGGACAACCCCACCCCCACCCCCACCCGGCATAGGGGAAGGGCTCAGGTATTACAACTACCACAACTCCACTCAGAGCCGATCTTCCAGGGGGCAGCTAGGTGGTGCCATGGCATGTGTGGAGCACCAGGCCTGGAGTCAGGAAAATTCATCTTTCTGAGTTCAAATCCAGCTGTGTGACCTTGGGCAAGTCACTTAACCCTTTCTGCCTCAGTTTTCTCACCTGTCAAATGAGCCGGAGAAGGAAATGGCAAACTACTCCAGTATCTTTGCCAAGGATACCCCAATGGGGTCATAAAGAGTCAGACAGGACTGAAAAACGACTGAACCCAAGGTGTTCTGGAGGAACTTCCACTACTGTGGCTAGTATACCCTGACCCCAGTCTTCAAGAATCCTAATACAGACAGAAGGAAAAACTAAAACAGAAAAAAGGCAAACCAAAATAAACAACTGAACAATCACGGAAGAGGGACTGGCCCTTCCTGATTGCCGGCCCACCTCCAGACTTCTCCACGGTGTCCTTCCCTCCCCCCTTTCACAGCTTTCTTTCGTATGTGTCTTCCCGGTTAGATGGGCAAGTTCCTTGAGGGCACAGCTGTCTTTGGCCTCTCTGTGTATCTCAGTGGTACCTGACACATAATAGATGTTTACTGTGTGGAGAGAATTCTGATTTTTATAATATTGATATGATACGTAATAAATAGATTATGAATAGATGAATAGAACACAAATAGATTAGATTTTTCAGAATTGCCTTGTCCAGCTCGAGTCAGACTCACGATGCAGCTTGAACTGATCAATCATGCCTTGACAAGGCTCACATTCACTGGCATCCTTCTGTCTGTGTACCTGAAGGGAAGCGAATCAAAGACTGTAGAACTTGTTCCCATCACCACAGAACTCTGGTCCTGTGACCCCCCCCTTCCCAAGGACTCCAGAACTGTTGTGCCGTCGTCGTGGGAAACCGCTCCGGCCCTTGTTTGTAATCCACATTCCCCCATCCTTCCCACTTGTGATTTATGTATATAATCTCCGCCTCTACTTCAGCCAGATTCGCAAATCTGTCCCTCATAAGGAAACTAATCAATTAAACGACTCCCTGATTGCTTTGTCTTGCTCTCCTGATGCAGTTTAGTCATTCTCAGGTGGAGAATGGTTCAGTAAATTCCTGTTAACAATAGACCGCTTGAATCTGAGAGAATACCAGGAAGGACTGAGTCTCAGGTTTACTTCAAGTCCATGTAGTGGGGGATCCTAAATCTCTGAAGTTCAATATTAAAAGGCGACCATAAGCAGAAACAGCATCAGGAACATCAAGGCCAGAGCAAAGATGATGACATTTCCTGCAGAATCACTGACCCTAATTCTAGGTCAAGGAGAAATGCCCTGTGCCACTGATGGGCATGGGATCTGAACCCCTAAAAGGAAAAGACCATGTCTTTGGGATTGGACCCCAAAAAGGAAAAGCCCTGGACTTGCCCACAAGGCCAAATCTCGGGCGATTGCCTGAGGCTATCATCCCATCAACTTCATTATCATCTATGCCCAATCTCCCAGTTCTCTGTTACCCTTAACCTAGCCCAGCCCCCCACTGCCTTACCTCCCTGTGGTGACTTCCCACCCTTAATCCTATCTATGCTCCATTCTCCCTTGGCCACAAGGTCCAGGTCCCAGGCACTCGAACACTTCACAGTCACCCAGCTTACTGGCCTCTCCCATCCAGATCCTCCTTAGACCCCTCCTCCAGTCATCCCAGACTACCTGGCCACTCCTGGACCCCTCCCACAGTCCTTCTGTACATAATGTCCATCTGGCCTCCATTAAGATGTTCAGATTCTTAAGATCTGGCCCCCTTGCATGAGTGATATAAATGCTGATTCCTTAAGAGTGCGGCCAATATGGTTGATCTTTAATAAACCCTGTCTTTGGCTAAAAGAAGGCTTGGGTCGAATTTATTTGGGGAGGACCCACGTGTCATGATTTTGGGGTCCCAGCACCCCTAAACCTCAATGCCACCACCCACTTGGTGTTCCCTGCTGCCAGCCAGCACCTCCTCCCCTTCCCTGGGAGCCCATGGCGGGAGGGACAGTGGAATTCAAAATCTTTGCCCAACAGGAAGGATCTGAGGGACTGCACTTCTTCTTTTGGAAAGGCTTTCACATCCCTCTTATTGCCAAGAAGCAAGTTCCCTCCCAACAATGCCGCATCTTGGGTCTCCAAGCCCTCCCTGGGTGGGAGTTACACCATGATAACTGGTACCAGCTAACCATCTTACATTAGTCTATGGGCTATCCTGGTCCCACTCTTCTACCACTGGAGCCCATGCCTCTCTGCCCACTGCCCCCAGCTAAGATCCCCAGGGTCCATGTCTGTGCCGACTCTGGACACTCTGCCAGGGTCATCTGCTGCCCTCCGGGCCAGGGCAGGACACCTCGGACTCCCTAGGGCCTGAGCTGAGACAGGGTATTGTGGTAGTCCTGGGCCCTATAGCTGCCAATGCTGCAGCAGGTTCTGCAGGAATGCTGTGGGTGCTGGTGCTGCTGCTGCTGGGACCTGACTTTGGGTTCTGTGCAGAGATAAAGACACACTCCAACCAAGCCAGAGATTCCTCTAGGCAGTGTATGGGAGCTATTCCCAGGAGCAGGGAATATCGATTTCTGCTGATGTTGGGCAAATGCTCTTGGGGCCTGAGTTCTTTCTCTTTCTCACCTTGTGGAAGAGAGAGAGAGAGTGGAGACAGGAGAGAGAGAGGAAAGAGTGAAAAAGAGAGACACTCAAGCTCCAGTATTAAACTCCAATCTTAAGAGCTCACACAGGTAGCAAGTGTCAGAGGCAGGATCTGGGCCTGGAGTCCGGAAGATCTGAGTTCAAATCTAGTCTCAGATATTTACTAGTTGTGTGACCCTTAGTAAGTCACTATTTAATCCTGTTTGCCTCAGTTTCCTCATCTGTCAAATGAGCTGGAGAAGGAAATGGCACACCATTCCAGTAATCTCTGCCAAGAAAACCCCAAATGGGGTCACACAGAATAAGACATGACCCAACAACAAATAAGATCATTGTACTGGTGTAAATTATACAGATCTAAGGAGGACAATGTTAGCAACAGAAGAGATCAAAGAAGACTCGAGAATGGAGGATGTGCATGGAGATGAGATGAGCATGACATGACATTTGAGCTGCCCATAACTGGAGAAAAAATCAGAAGCACAGAACAGTAGATCTGGGCTGAATCCCAGAGATCACCTAGTTCCCCACCTTCATTTTACAGGTGAGGATACTTGTCCCAGAGAAATGAAATGATTTATGCAAGTCCATGGGGCTGCCATTATCCTGTACATTCGAATATGGCAGGGCTGGGCCCCACACTTGGGTCTCCTACTCCCTGGCCACTACCATAGAAAGACTTTTCACCTTCTAAGAAGAATATAAAATATATAAATAAGAAGGACAATTACGGGAGCTTTAGCCTCTCTTCTGTGAAGGATACAACAGTAATATATTGGCAGCTGAGCCCCCACTTGGCTCCCAGTTTTACAAAGTTTACAAGTAGTCTGTTGTTCCCCCATTATTTTCCTCTCACCTGTTCTCCAGATCTGGCATACTCAGGTTCCTGGTAGCAAAACACATTTTGAGAGGGATGACCTTCTTGTCTTTGGTGCCGTGTTGGTGTTTGGGGGAGCCCGAGTCCTCGCTGCCACTAAAGCTTGGTGACTGGGGGGCGACCCCTTCCCAGGGCAGATCGGATACCAATGATGGCTTCTTGATATACGGGGTCACTTCCCGGATGAACTTGACTACGGACAAAATCAGGATAGAGAAGCAAATTAGTCCTTTTGCATCTTTTAGAAATGCACAACTAGAAAACAACCATGTTCTTAACATAAAATGTAAGATAAAATATATCTTATTCTTTATAACAAGTGGAATGTCACTCTCAGGACATGGGAGGAGACATTTTAAAAATATAAATCTGGGGAAGAGGGAAGGAAAAAAAGAAAAAAATTTACAGCACTTTATTATATATTTAAATGAAATAGCAGTTGTACATAATAGATTTGCAGTTTTATGTGCAATCTTTTTTTTTTATTATACTATATTATGGAAATGCTTGTTTTAGCCCATAAATTAAAAATAAAATAAATAAAAATATAAATCTGAGTTTTTGGACTGTTATAAAATGATAGTTTCATCTCACTACATGGGAAACATGCCCTTTGCCTTTATTTCTCATGGAACAGATTGTGCAAAGATGTATGGAGATAAAACCTTCATGCCCCAGGAACTAGACAGGTTGAGGGGACTTTATCTCAAACCATTTTAAAATAAAAAACAAACAGCTGGACACAGTTCAATCAAACTCACAACAATCAATGCCCGATTACTCCACAATGAGCCATAAATGGTGTATCAGCATTTCCTTGTTCCCTCACCCCTAACATTTCTTTGAGGCAAACCATTAGCAACATTCTAGAAAGTGAAGAAGAATCATAAAAAAAAGATAGGTATATCAATAATGTATAGTAAGTATCAGAAAGATGTCAAATATTGTGAATTCTCACCCGTTTCCTTGTTTTCAATGTGTACAGAAACAAAAAAAAATTTTTAAATTAGGACATTTCTAAAAATATATATTGCATAATAGAATAGTGTAAGCCTATCACTTCAAATATGAATATCTGGGGAAGAGGTTGCAAGTTTTAGCTGCAGTCAGCAAAAGGACCAAGCTTATTGTTTTATAAGTTACATGACAAGATCTGCTGAAATTAAACACAATACAGAAGAAAGCTGAGGCCAGCAATTTGGGGAGAGCACTGGTGTTTTGTGCTTCCATACATCATGGTTCTTTCTGGGTAGGGAGTGCAAAGGGCTAATTTAACTCCTTCATGGTACCAAAGAGAATCTTTCATCCTCAAAAAATAAGCTAGGGCCCAGTACCCATAAAAATGGTTTAAATCTAGCTGTGTTCTGACTCGGGCCTTTCAAGACCTGTCTTAGCCTTGTGCTTTCAAGAGGATTCCATTATGAGGACTCTGGCAACAATAATCAACAGTTTCCAGTTACTGCCAAAAGCTGATACATGATCTTTAACATTCTGGGTCATTTCAAACAATTTCTACGGTGAAAGATACACTGACTACTATAATTAAGGTTCAACTATCCCCCAAAGGAGTCTGGGTCTACTCCGAAAGCTATCTGATCCAAAATACCTTGTTAAGTTGGATACCAAACCCACAATAATCTGAATGAATAACAAACACCACTTCTTCGGTGGATTCATTAAGAGGGCAATGGCTACCATAACTTGGCCACATCAAGACTAGTGGCTAAGGGAACATCTGGCAGCCCTTGTCTGGTGGCAGGAGCCACATTATTCACGCTACCTGGGAAAAAGCTAAGCCCATCCTTGAGAGACATGAAAGTACATGGGAATTCCTACTAAGCCTCTTCAAGGAATTATAGAAGTTATTGTTGAGTCATTTTCAGTATTGTTCAACTCTTCGTGATCCCATTTGGAGTTTTCTTGGAAAAGACACTGGAGTAGTTTGCCATTTTCTTCTCTAGCTCATTTTACAGATGAGGAAACTGAGGCAAACAGGGTTAAGTAACTTGTCCAGGGTCATACAGCTTGTAAGTATCTGAGGCCAGATTTGAACTCAAGAAGATGAATCTTCCTGACTCCAGGCCTGGCAGTCTATCCACTGGACCACCTAGTGGCCCTTAGAGAAGGCCTATAGCTATATTTCTGTTGTAAAGGTATAGTGAGTTACCACACCTTCTAAAAGGCCTCAGTCTGGACACATGGCTAACTTAGGGTAAATGGAACAAAGCTTTCCCCAACTGCACCATATTTAATTCATGGTATTTAGTTAAGTTGCGATGGGGAGGGAAAGGAGATTTTACCAAGGAGAAATACAAATATACAATATTTTCCCCCTTAATAAAATCTCCTCTCCCTCCCCGCTACAACTTAACTAAATACTGGAGCTTCTAAAGTATTTTAGAAGTTTTAATGCTAATATGATTAGATTTCTTTTCTTCCCTTTTTCCAGAAAACTTTTCTTTTGTTGTCCAATACCTACCTCCTCAAATTTCAGCTCTAAAGAATCACTGACAGTAATTACCTGTCCACTCAAGAGAGAGAACAAACACACAGCAGAGACTGACTATAATGGTGCCCTCGGGGTCCCTGACAGGGGACCACCATCATAACACTTCTCTTTAGATCCTGAAATAATTACAGCCTCCTGGATATGATCCAAGGCAGGCCTTGATGATAATGAATTCTACTCCACAACACAAACAAGAATGCTGAGGTTCCAGAATATTAATAGTATATCTTGGTTTGGTGAAATATACCGCACAATTCACTTCTCAACCCTGTGCAATCTGGCTCCCCAAGTCTATTGATCTCTTTAACTTTTTTCTTGTTTATTTTGTGGTTAAATTTACTTAGTTCAGAGAGAGGGAGGTTGAGGTCCCCCACTAGTATAGTTTTGCTGTCTATTTCTTCCTGTATCTCCCTTAACTTCTCCTCTAACAATCTGGCTGTTACACCACTTGGTGCATATATGTTTAGCAATAATATTACTTCATTATCTATGGTACCTTTTAGCAGGATGTAGTTTCCTTCCTTATCTTTTTTAATTAGATCTGTTTTTGCTTTTGCTTTGTCTGAGATCAGGATTGCTACCCCTGCTTTTTTTACTTCAGTTGAAGCATAATATATTCTGCTCCAGCCTTTTCCCATTACTCTGTGTGTATCCCTCTGCATCAAATGTTTTTCCTGTAGACAACATATTGTAGGATTATGGTTTTCAATCCATTCTGCTCTCTGCTTCCATTTTATGGGAGAGTTCACCCCATTCACATTTACAGTTATGATTACTGTCTGTGTCTGCCTCTCCCTCCTATTCCCCTCCCCCCTCATTTATGCTTTTTTCTCTCCTTTTTCCCTTTCCCTCCTCAGGAGAGTTTTGGTTTCAACCACCAAAGGGATTTTCCTAAACAGCAGGCCTTACTCAGGGGTTCTCTATGGCTTCTAGACTCAAATACAGACACCTGAGTTTAGCTTTGAAAGTCCTTCCCAGCCTGGGCCCAATCCACCCTTCTAGGATTTTTGACCTTATTCTCTTTCACACAAGGCTCCATTCCTGCCAAACCTGCCCACTTGCTCAGCTCAAGTGCCAGCTCTGGAAAAGAGACCTTTTCTTTTACCCTCCTACCCCAGCTGCCTGAGGGAATCACTTAACATTCATTTAAAAGTACTGTGTATTGTTATTTCTCTAGGTAGACTGTAAGCTTCCTGAGGTCAGGAACTTGTTCATTCTGCCATATCCTCATAATAACTAATATTTATATAGTACCTACTACGTGCCAGGCATTGTGCTAAGCACTTTATAATTATTATCTCATTTGATCTTCACAACAACCCTGGGAGGTAAGTGCTATTATTATCCCAATTTTACAGATAAGGAAACAAAGGCAAACAGTGGGTAAGTAATTTGTACAACTAGGAAATGTCTAAGGTCAAATCTGCACTCAGGCCTTTCAGACTCCAGGACCAGTGCTCTATCCACTATGTCACAGTGGCCTAGCACACAGCAGGCACTTAATAAATACATTAGCTTTGTTGATTCACCCCAGCTCTGGTATCACTTACAACAATTAGGAAGTGAAACAAATAAGAGGGCTTCTGTGGGGAAGTCAGCAATTTCTATTTTTTCCACTGCTAATCTTGAAATGTAACACGTAACATGCAACTTAAGTTTTCTAAAAGCAGAATGAAAAAGTGAGCCTGAAAAGTCAGATCCAAAAGGAATGGCTATTATTTGAATGTTGATGGTAACAAGACTCCCCGGAAAGAAAGAACATCACCGAGAAATCTGGTAGAAGAGGAGAAAAAGAACTTGGATCGGAGCTCCAGCATTCTCTCTGGTCACTTCCTGAAAGGCCAAAGAAAGGACCTGGAAATTGAGAAACAAACCAGGAGAGAATGGCTCTTTAAGCAAGCACCAAACACCGGTTACTGAACCTTTCCATTCACTCAACCAAGGCCCAAGTTTTATCAAACTGATGGGTAAAACACCCATTTAGTTTTTCAACTTAAACACACAACACGCTAAAAATAGTCTTCCTTTCACATCAAGGAAGGATAGAAGGGCAGGCAGAGCTGGACAGAACTTTTGGAGATCATCTACTACCTTCCCCTCCCTCTATAGATTAGGAAACTAAAAAAGGAGGGCATATAGCTTGCCCAAAGTCCCCAACTTACAGATGGCAGAGACATCAAAGTGGGCAATAGATAGATGATGGAAAATAAAGTTTAAATCAGGTTAAGTTACAGCCAGAGGGCAGAATAAGAGATGGGGATTTTCCATGTAAATGCTATATAGCAAAGGTATCAAACTCAGAGCTGGCAAAACTACTGAGTGAGGCCCAATCAGAATAAAAAGTAATTGGTAAATGTTTAACAAAATTAAATAAAAATACAGTACAACACAGATGATGTTAATTTGTGATTTTCTAAGTCAGAATGTGGCCTGCAGGGATTCATTTCTATTAGAGTTTGACACCACTGCCACACAGGATTAAAAAAACAACAAGAGGGATGGTTCCAAGGGGTAGGAAATCTGTCCAAGGGGTAGGGAATCGATTATGGATGTTAGGGTGCTCTACAAGTTCTCCTTGGAAGCCTCATTGTGGCATAGAGGTGACCCAGGGTCCCTGAAGGCTATGTTAGGAGTGGACAAGTTTCACAAGATTCTACCATGCTGGGAAAGATTTGAGTATGTTC